TAGTCTCTTGGCTCAAAGATAACTTCTGTTAAGTTTTTGAATGCCCTTTCAGACTTTTCAATGTATAAAGTAAATATTTTAAAAACATAAATGGAAATCATATTAATATATACTGACCTAATATCACTCTATAGTTCTGGATAGAGTTCTAAGTCAGAATATATAAATCTACTTTATTTTTCTTAACATGCTTTATAATATTCTATTATACTATAAAGGAGGTGCTGTAATATATTAATCAAATCTTCATTGATGAATATGTAGGATTTCTCCAGTTTTAAAACTATATATATTTTATACATTTTAAAGATTGTGTCATAAACCAAACTTCCACAAAGGAAATTGCTTGTTGGGGTGGTGTGAACATTCAAAATGTTAATACATATTGGTTTATGTTCTCTAGCGTGGTCGTACACAAGTATACTTAAAAAATTTTTTTCTTGAGACAGAATCTCATTTGTTGCTCTGGATAATGTGCTATGGTGTCATGATAGCTCGCAGCAACCTCAAATACTTGGGCTCAAGCAATCCTCTTACCTCAGCCTCCTGAGTGGCTGGGACTACAAATGCCCACCACTGTGCTCCTCTAGGTTTTTCTATTTTTAGTAGAAATGTGGTCTTGCTCTTGCTCAGGCTGGCCTCAAACTCCTGAGGTCAGGTGATCCTCCTTTCTTGGCCTCTGAGACTGCCAGGATTAGCACTGTGCCCAGTCTGAAAGAATCCTTTTAATTAGAGCATATGGGAGAGTGCCTTTTCTCTTGTACCCTTACCATCACTGGCTAATGAAAAACGACTACTCATTTTTCAATCTTTTGTCAGGTAGGTGATAAATTATTTTAAGCCTTTTAAAAATATGTAAGTTTCATCATTTGCAGTTTTTCTTTTACAAAACATTGCGATCCTTTTAAATGTGTTATTTTCTACATGTTGACTACTTTTTTTTTTTTTTAATAGTATGAAGTATTCAGAACAGAAGAAGAGGAAAAAATAAAATCTCAGGGACAGGATGTTACATCGTCAGTATATTTTATGAAGCAGACGATCAGCAATGCCTGTGGAACAATTGGACTGATCCATGCTATTGCAAATAATAAAGACAAGATGCACTTTGGTAAATAATTTGTTGTTACTGCTGGGTTTTCCCCCTTAAGATGTTAAGTTCATTTTATTGAGCAGTAGGTGGTGCTCTAATTCTTTTCTTTTAAACTACAAAATAAAGCATCTCCCCCCCCATAATAGGCATATATATACTGTTAGAAGAAATATTACTGCTTCCTATTCTTTTGTATTGTTGATAAATAGAGGTTCAACAAACAGATACTTCAGGTTTATCATTTATCCCAAGATTCTTATATTCCTAACTTACCAGACAAAGGCTTTTACCCGAGAATTGATAGTAAACTTAAGAGTATTTTCTTATATTGGGCTCTAACATATCAAGGCGTTTCAGTTTTATTTTCTTTGATATTCCCAGAATCTGGATCAACCTTGAAAAAATTTCTGGAAGAGTCTGTGTCAATGAGCCCTGAGGAACGAGCCAGATACCTGGAGAACTATGACGTCGGTACCTTCTTTCTGTCTTGATCTTATATGTGAGCAAAGTTTTGTGGGATTGTAGATTCTCTTTGGAGATTTGTCTTAAAACCGTAGTTTTGAGCAATTATGGATTTTACCGTATCAGTTAAGAAAGGCCTTTCGTACTTTTTAGGTAACTTTATCTGAAATATCTGTGAATATTGATAAATTGCCACTTCTTTTCCAAGTCTAGAGTTGAATGAGCAGATAAAACAGTTTGATTTACAAATTTTAAAGTATCTTATATCTTATGATTGACTATTCCTTATCATTCTTTTCCTGTAATAAATTTATGCCTCGCAGTACCCTATGTGTCTTTTACTGGGAATTTGGAACAAGGCTGAAGACAAAAGGAAAAAACAAAGGCTTCAAGGTAGACGTTAGGCCCTGCTCTAGCTATTTTCATGTAATTATTAGGCCATATGATCTAGTTTTAAACAATTTTACCATTTCATAGAATTGTTTTAAAATGTTTTTTAAAATTTACTACTTTGAAATCGATTTTTATTTTGAAGCCTTTTTACCTTTTAATAACATTATTAAAGAGATTATAAGTTCTTTGAAGTTAGAAGCAGTATAATATACAGATTTTTTGGATAGAACAATGCCTTTTGTAGAGTTGGTGCCTGATGAGTTAATTAATTTGATCATGTTGTTTAGCATTCCAATACACTTTAACTTGCTTTTTCTTAAAAAAACCTGGAGTTTTTTCACAAAACAACTTCAATATACATAAAAATAAAACAGCAAGAAAGTCACTAATGGTCCTACCAATGAGAGGTAGCTAACCATTAATATTTTTTACAGGGAGTATATATGTATATACACAGTTTTTCAAACAAAAATCTTATCACACTTTAACACTGTTTTATAACTTGCTTTTTTCACTTATCACAAACGTATATGTACCAGTAAGTATATATTTTATATTATTTAATGGCTGTATAGCTTTCCATTATATAATATTTTATTTAATCAATAAATTTTTGTTAGAAATTTAATAGTTTTCTCTCTTTGTCACAATTAAAAAAAATACTGCAATACATCATTGTAGCTAAATCTTTGCAAGTATCCTAAATCGTACATAATTATGTATAAATATCTAAATGTCTACTATCTAAACTCCTAGAAGAGAAATTCCTGGATCAGCCAGTTTGCATGTTTTTAAGGCTTGGATATTTATTGCCAGTTTGCCATTCATAAACGTTGTACTTTCACTTATAATTGACTATTGTGCCCATTTCTCAGCAACTTTGTAAATAGTGGGTATTATAAGAGGGTTTCTCTTTGTTTCTTTTTTTTTTTGGTTTGTTTTTTGTTTTTTAGTTCAGGAAACTAAATTCTCTAGCTTCTGAACTGCCTGCTTTTTGCTCCACATTTCTAAATTTGCTGACCGAAACTGCATGTTTAAGGAGCATGGACCCTGGAGGGACAGATGAGATAAGCTTTTTCTGTCCCTCTGTGAGATGCTTACTTTATTCAGGTCTCAACTGAATAAAATGTTAAATCTTAGTTCTAATAAATAAGTTAAATGACTCCTTCTTATGTCTAGAAATTATACATAATTAGGTATTAAATATCCAAAGTCTTCAGAGATTAAAAGTGTTAGACAGTAGCAATTTGATTACCCAGATGGTCTCACCTATCTAATATGAAACTGTTCCTAAATTCCCTCCAATCTGTTTTTTTCTTTATAAGACTTCACATTTTAAAATGTAGCCTTGTTGTTTTCATTTCAAGAGTTGGATACAGTCATTTTTCCGATCAACACCTTATATTCTTATTACAGGCTATTCGAGTTACTCATGAAACCAGTGCCCATGAAGGCCAGACTGAGGTATTTCAGATTTCCTTAAAAAAATTTCTTGCTATATGTAAATTTAACCATAGTGTAAGATAATGTAGTTTTATAACATTTTTTCCTTTCTTAAGAATTTTCTTAAGCAAAAGCAGTCCTAAAGTAGCTCAAGAACATGTTTTGACAAGTTGGTAGCATGCGACTGTCATCTCAGTTCATCTAGTCATCGAGACAGATCACAGATTGTGTGCTGTTTGCTTTGGCTAACAGGTGGCCTGTGCCTTCCCTGTCAGATTCCTTTGACTTCTAAATATTTTGAGAAAAATACCTGAACTATTGTACAGTTAGATAGCCTGTGTGATCTTTAAGAGTCTTTATCATGCCTGGCTTCTAGCAAACACCACGTCGTTCTCTTAGGTCAGTAAATCC